TATATATATATATATATATATATATATATATATATATATATATATATAATATACATATACATATATATATATATATATATATATATATATATATATATATATATATATAATATAGCATTTGTAAATTCTGAACGCTGATTGGCTAAGAGCCGTGTTGATATAACTCAATGTCAACACGGGAAATTTTCCGCCGCTTGTAAATACGGAAATTTTTCTTATCCTTCGTGCTTTTGACATCGCTTATTATAAAAAAAATATAAAACATTTTCACAGTTCAGCCTTTTGAATGATGGTTTTTAAGGCGCATTTCAGCCATTCAATTGAAAAAAAATAACTAGGAAGATCAATTATATACATAATTCAAGATCAGTAAACTCAATGTTTTTAACAATAAAAATGTTTTAAAATGTTAAAAACATTAAGTTTACTGATCTTGAATTATGCAGGATTCGTAGCGGTCTTTGAAATCCTTGAAAGTCTTTAAATTTGAAAGTCTTTAAGGTCTTTGAAAAGTATTTGAATTGTGTGAAAAAGCGAGGAAAGTCTTTAAAAGTCTTAAATTGTTTAGTGAGGAATTGATTATACGATTTCCTAGCTAATAAAATAGATTGATTGAAGCAAGATTTTCGCAAATATCGACGAAAAGGCACGTATTAGGATGTGATTTGAAGGAACTAAAAATGGTGCTTACACTCGCAATTTTTCGACAGCTGATTGCTCTCAAAGGTCTTTGAAAAGTCTTTGAAAATAGGCAGAAAAAATCTTTGAAAGTCTTTGAATTTTTTTGGTATTGGAGACTACGAACCCTGATTATGTTTAATTGATTTTCTTAGTGTTGTAATGCACCTTAAAATCATCATTCAAAAGCCTGAACTGTGCCTTCGATATTCGAGGTACGAGTATGAATATTTAGGATATGAATATTAAGATTAGGAATTTTAGAGGTAGGATTAGAATTAAATATTTAAGGAGAAGTATTCCTCTTTCACCCCCGATTTTTCCGAAGTAATTTTAGTTTTCCCGCCATTTTGTAGAGTCGTTGGCTGCAGCTCGGGCGAAAGCTGGGGCGGAGTATAAGCTCAACACAACCGAGGTGACCGCTATACGTCAGCTGATCGCCAGCTATCGTGAGTCTGCGGCATTTTTATACCGATCAGCGGACGAACTCGAAGCATTACTTCCGACATCAATGTTACAGCCCCAGAAAGCTGTGCGCTGACGTCGGTCTTTTCTCGTGGCCGGCCGTAGTTGGATTTAGTTGACTTGCAATCTATTGCGAATGTTATTTATTTTTAGGAAGCCGATTTTTGCGGCTCGCAAAATTTAATTGTTAAAAAATTTTTGCAAAGTGTAATTTGTTTTTGTAAGAAGAAAATTTGACGTCGATTTTTACTCGCCCAATGCACAGCACTTAATTTGAGTCTAACTCGTAAATATATTGCTAATATTCCACTGATCTCAAATACTGGATATGGATGGTGTAATGCATCTGGTATGCATATGACGATAGCTGCCATATTCGCTGTGGTGTTACTGACATGTAATTCTGGTTGTTGGTGGGAAGGGATACGATTTGTCTAGATAAGACAATGGTCATCAATGGCCTATCCTCTTCAATTTGCCAGTGATTAACTAATGTGGTCACACTGAGGCCAAAAAAAATGTGTGTTTCCGGTTTCCCGACCCTACCTAGCTTTTGGACGTCGAAATCCCGACCCTAAACGTTTTTTATTGGATCGTGCTTGTAAGTGTTTCCACTTAGAGGAAAAAGTTTGTGGAAAATTGAAATTTGAGGCAATATTAGGGAAATTTATCTTTGGATGTGGAAGCACTGACTAAACAAAATGGCGTCCGGTTGTTAGGAAAATTTAAAAAAAAGTTTAAAAAAAAAAGTTAAAACCGACCTACCCTACCTAAGTTTTTATAAGAAGAAACCGGAAACCCACATTTTTTTTTGGCCTGATCAGAACGCCTCAAGCCTCGTTATATCGTTTCAAAACGGTTCTAAATATGGCAGATATTGCTTGACTCTGAATTTAAACGTTGCATGATCCGATTTCTGAAGAGCGTTAATCTAGTCGAATCTAGCTTTACAAATTAATTCACCTATCCGATCCCTGTTTTTGAGATCAGTGTGACGAGCGTCATAGCATTGTGTTTTTAATCCGACAAGTTGTAATGATTTCTGCGGAGTTGCCCGTACGAACAGCGAACAAGGAGGTTATACGTTTGAAGCATTTTATCTCGCATTATGCACGAATTTATGTGTGTATAATGCGTGCGATTGTTAAACACAGAGACAATTTAATTTATTGAATAAATATATAATTAACATCTTATTATAAAACGTATTAAGGTGTATAAGGTTGGAACTTATTTGGGGGAGGAAGGGGGGGGGGCGCATGTGCCTTTCGCTTATGCGTATTATTGAAAGCCTTGATATTAGTAGTAGCGGGGGGGGGGGGGGGGGGG